GACGCCATCGTCTTCTAGAAACATTTTCTGATGCCCTGACCATGTGCGGGAGACGCGTTTCTAGAACAACCGCTGACGAACAGTACAGTGGTCGACGACCCTGGGCTGGGCCGGTTGAGTCAGTTCGGCAGTCGATCCGATGTGCATCCTTCCTTCGCAAACGGTATACTTATTCTTTTTAACGATCGGGATATTGCCGTCTGTGCGTGTTATCGTTCATGAGGAGTACTGCAGCTCAACACCCACAGAGCGGACCATTTGCTCTCTCTTCTTTAGGTCCAGACTCGCACCAAGAGTAAATAGCAGCTCCTTGATTCTGCCCTCCCACAATACTCCGATATGCCAATCCTGATCGACTCTAGCCTTCAGCACGCCGGATACATCGTCATCTGCAGAAGTTGTTGGGCGTTTCCAATCTGGACGCAACTTCTTGATCGCCCAATCTACGTCGGTTGTGCTGCGCAGACGCCAGAGTTCACACCCGAGCTGCAGCTCACTTTCATAGGAGTAGAAGTTGAAGTCGAAGCGGGAGGACAGGGCCAAGTTAGGGCCGGCCTTGACAGCATACGTGGAAGAGAGATTTCCCATCAACGGGTTGAGCGTGAGCGTCATGGTATACGGGAAGCCCGCATGGTTGGGTAGGGTGGCGAACCTCACCCCTGTGCTGATTCCCCCGCTCTTGTTGAGTATGCCATAGTACAGCTCAGCGCCTGCGCTGAAGCGACCATGCACAGGATCCACCTGCTCTGCAGCAACGGGTTCTGCGGGCGCAACTCTGGGGCCTGGACCAAAGTTGTAAAGACCCCGGACGCCCATCAACGCCGAGTCTGTGCTGTACATGTATTCCGTGCTGTATTTGCCGAAGTCATTTTGCAGTAGCGTCAGGATCGTCCCGCCGTTGTTGAGATTGGAGTCGCTCACGGCGGCGATCCTCAGCTGTCGCGTAGGAGTGAGGCGGCGGAGGTACAGGGCTTCGAGCCTCTGCTGTGGTAGGAATATGCGCCCATACAACAGGGTGTCTGTCTTGACTCAGCGGGGGTACGGGAAGGCAGTGTCATCCAGCTCACTCTTGCGGTCTATCCGGCGGCCAGCATGCCAAACCTCCCACGACCACTTCTCGTCCGGTCTCCGCAACTCTTGCACATGCTTGTAACCTCGTATGACGTTGTGGAGGTCGATGTGGGACGTCCTAAAGTCCTTCCGTAGTGGCAGCGACGAGTACAGGTAGGATACTGAGCCGTCGACTACCCCCACACTGCCTAGGGTGTACGAGGTTGCGAAATTGGGGGCCGCGAGAGAGGAGATTTGCATGCGCAGCCCACGGGGTATGTCAAAGTCGAGCAATGCTGTCATCTACAGTCAGTATCCAGTCTAGAACGCGACATCCAGTGTGACGTACCCCGTGCCGACGCGTTCAGTGCGCCATAGGAATTGTCGACGTTCCAGCCCGATGCCTCGTAGAATGCATGCTGCACACTATCCATGAAATCCAACATCGCTATGTTATCGATTGATCATCTCGAGCAGACTGGGGTGAGGTTGAGTGCGTAGACTTTGGAGAGCGCGAGAGCGACATCTGGATCCACAGCGGAGCAGCCGCGGTTGCACCAATCGGGGGTTCGCCAAAATCCCCGCTCAATTTTTTGGAAGTCGCGACCGCAACTTCGAACTTTTTCCTGAGCGCAACCACCAACCACAACACCCCCGAAATACCGCCACCATGCCCAAATCCAAGCGCCAGAAGGTCGTGCATCTTACCAAGACGGACAAGAAGGGCAAGGAGCTATCTTTGAAGCTCTTTGCCAATGTCCAGGAAGCGGCGGATAACTTTGAGCACATCTTCGTCTTCGCCGTAGAGAACATGCGCAACTCGTACCTCAAAGAAGTTCGCCAGGAGTTCGCTGACAGCCGGTATGTCTGCGGAAGCGCTTTCATCCAATGCGCGCATGGCTAACGAATGCGCAGATTCTTCTTCGGAAAGACCAAAGTCATGGCGAAAGCGCTTGGCCTAAGCCCGGCAGAAGAGCACCTCTCGAACCTCTCCGAGCTTACCAAGCACCTCAACGGCAATGTCGGACTCTTTTTCACCAACCGCGAGCCCAGCGAGGTCATTGAGTACTTTGCCAACTACTCGCAAACCGACTTTGCGCGCGCCGGTGTTGTCGCTACACAGACCTTCACAGTACCCGCTGGTGTTGTCCACTCAAGAGGTGGAGAGATTCCCGAAGAGGAGGACGTGCCGCTGCCGCACAGCATGGAGACTACCATCAGGAAATGGGGCATGCCAACGAGGCTCGACAAGGGCAAGATCATCTTGGATGTGCCGCACACCATCGCCGAGGAGGGCAAGGTCATGAACAGTCATCAAACAGCGCTGCTGAAGATGTTCGGTGTGGCCATGGCAGACTTCAAGATCGATCTCAAGGCCTACTACACCAAGGCGACTGAGCAGGTGACAGAGGTTGGAGCTATGGAGGAGTAGGAACAAGCGAGATCAGCTTAGTTCAGTTGCATCATGACGGCGTTTCTTAGGCGTTCGGTTCGACCAGGGAAAAGTATGCTAGATGACTTTGACGGAAAGCTCGAGTCAGCCCACGAGCACATCACAATATACCCTATTATGTTGGTCTTCAACTTTGCTGGACCTCTGCGCGACTAGCTTTCATGGCATACTGCATATATTTTTCAGTCGCCTGTTCTCTACTAAAAAGATATTTAAACCTGCTACAGCATCGCTAATCCAGCTAAAAGACCTCCTACGATAGCACCAAATGTCTCAGGGTAGTTCGCAACACCTGCACCCGTCTCGGCCGGAACCGACGCACTCGCCGAAGTCTCATCCGCTGTAGGAGTCGCCGTGCGCGTAGTCCTGACCGATGTGGATGAGTGTGTGGAAGAGTGTGTCGAGGTATGCGAGGTTGTAGAGTTGCGCGACAGCGTTGAAGTCGAGAGCGTCGAGTTGGCCATAGCGCTGCTAGACATGGAGATCATGACTGTGCTGCCGGAAGGTGTGAGAGTCGGTAAGTTTGAAAGTACCGGAGCGGACTCGGTGACGGAGGGATAGACGATGGTGCTAGGGCCAAAGAAAGGCGCCGTGTCCGGGTCGAACATTGGGCCGGTATCTACATCGGATGCTTGATTAGAGTTGAGATTCCAGGCATACTACATGCAAAACTATTGCCGTCGACCAAACTTACAGCTTGAGGTTGAGGCATCTTGCGCAAGCGCGGCGACCACCAGGCCAAACAAGGCAACGAGCACCTTCATACTTTCTTTCTTGCTACCCAACTTGTCGCGTTGTGATGCACTAGTAACGGCAGTCGGCAGACGTGAAACCCAATAGTGATGCTGGCGGAAACTCGAACGTGTAGTGACGAAGATAATAAAATGTATTAGGAAAGAGCGAAAGAGTCAAAAGTAAGGATCGACCGACGACTACGACCGCGATGGAAAGTGAAGCCCAGCACGCGCGCGCATCACGTAGGACCAGAAAACTGGTTCTCAGGGACTTTTAATCCCCATTCATTCTACCCTGCCCCCGTCAGCCTGTTCTGGCCCTCCGCCCCTAAAGAGAAGGATCTCGTAAAGAACAAGCATATCAATACTCTCCCGCAACCCGCCCAATGATGGCCGCCCAGTCAGCGTGCCCAGAGGTCTGGTCATCTCCGTGGGGCTAGACGTGTTTCGGATGGGGGCTCGTGTTCTCGTGTCTACATGGCTGCGAGCCCGAAAGTTAGTGGCGCCTAGTCCTATTGCCGCGAGACTGGCGCGGTGAATCTATGGATTGGATTTGGGCAGGCTAGAGGGCAGAAAGTGAGCAGCTGATGCGCGCGATGGGGGTTTGCTTTTTTGGGTGAGGTCGATGGATGGCTTTGTGAATGGATGCTAGTGAGCGTTGGAGGCGCGCGTGAGTGGAGATACCCCACATGGCGCCCCTGATGGCTTGGCAGGTACAAGCGGGCGAGCAAGCGATGTGAGGACGCGTGCATGACGTGCATGTTTTGCTGAGCCTGCAGCACCACCGCGGAGCCTGAGACCGCTATCACACAACTGACTCTGGTATACGAAATGACGCCGCGGATCGTTAGATCTGGACTTTGTTCACAAAATACAGCAGCCTTTGCATGGCCACTGCCGTTGCGGTGCCTTCTCTGTGTTTCGCGCTCGAGCCAAACCAGATGAGCTGTCTAGGTATCGTCACTTCATCTGTTCTCGAACATGTGTCTTGATCTCACTTTCATGTCTTGCATGGAGTCTAACACGAAGTTGCTTCCTAACAATGGAATTGTCTCGGTGCTCAGCACATATAATGCAGCATCCACAAGCAGAAGGTAAAGCTTCACAGCCAGAAACGGACACTACCTCATCAGCAGCTCCAAATGAACTATCAAACCCAGAACAGCCCACTCGGAGGGCGCGGTTTATTTGCGAATCGACCACTTGGACGGGGCGACCTCATACTCACGGAAGACCCCATTGTCTTCTGCAACACCGGTAATACTGAAAACCAGTGGTCCGACCAGGATACCGTCGACACTTTCTATGCTGCTCAACGAATACATGCAACTTCTGTCATCTATGCAGCTGTGAACAATCTTACATTAGAGCAGCGAAAAACACTACGTACGCTCTGGCCCCGGCCACCCCATGGTTCTACACTCGATCGATACGTCGATCGTTTCGAACGCAACGCATTCACCTTCGTGAATGCCAGCAATAACAAAACACACCTGGTAGTGTATGAAGACATCAGCTCCATCAACCACTCGTGTGTTCCAAACGCTACCATCGAAATATGGCCTCGCCGCACGGTGTTTCCGGAAGGCCAGGCAAGGCTTGTAGCAACTAGAGCAATCCCAGACGGAGCCGAGATCTTCGTAAACTACATGGAACGCGACTGGCTCGGCAACCATGTAGCTCGAAATGCTGTACTGAACCATCACTGGGGATTCACGTGTTCGTGCAATGGGTGTACACACCCGTTTACCGTCATGGATACGATGTCGCGCAATCTAGTACGCGAATACAAGACCAACATCACTGCCATGACAGCGGTAATGACTGAGGAGCAGAAGACTCACAGCATCATGAACCTGGCGGGCTACATCAACATTCTTACTTCTTTGGGCAGGTGGGATGTAGAGCTGTCCAACGCGTAGGTCAACCCACTTTCTCTTCATGTCTACACCACTAACGACTATTGAACAGATGTCTAGAACTCGCACGACTCTACTTAGGAAAGAAACACTACGCGCAGGCAAAACAAGCTGCCATGGCAGGGTCGCTCGTCGAGAAGAACTTCTTCATTGATACTTGGAATCAGCAGCTGAACGACATACTAGGACAGTGTCATCAGGAGGACGAAAGGCTGCGTGAGGAGTACAACAAAGGGGCCATGGGTCCTTTTTCGATCCTACCTATGTAGTGTTTGCATATGATCAATCGTTGTATTTCTTCCTGAACAACGAGCGTGTCGATGATTCTTTCTCAAACCAGACTCCTGTTTATGCTTCCAGATCAGCAAACTGCCGCAGCTGACGGGATATAAGGGTCGATCCGACGTCCATTGGCAGACTTCCTACATCACCCATACGGATAAAAGTCATCAACCACACGATAAACATGGCAGCTAATCATCCTCAGGTACGAGTCACTGATGTCAACGTTGTTGCGGGTAATGGCCTTGTGGCACAGCAAGACTTCAAGAAAGGCGCTCTCATTCTCGACGAAGACGCGTTCTTCCAATGCGACACACGCAAGCGGACCGAGGAGCAGAATAGAGAACTCATCACGTTCTACGACGAAGAAGTCAACAAAACTACTACGCGTTTGACGACAGCATACAGACGGCTAAGCTGGCAAGACCGAGAAGCCTTCCACAAGCTCTATACTTCGAAGACCAGGGCTACAGACGTCGAGCACCTTGTAGATCGTTGTCGGTATAACGCTTTCAAGTTCCCAACTTATCCCCTTGCAGATGACAACACTGACCTAGTTGTCTATCGCACGATATCCTTCGCCAATCATTCCTGCATCCCCAATGCAGTACTTTACATCGATAAGAATGGTGCAGATCTTAAAGGTTATGGCCGACTGGTTGCTACACGACAGATTAACGCTGGTGAAGAGATCCTGATCAACTACATCGCGGACGATTGGGAAAAGAGCAGGGATGCTCGCCAAGCAGCACTGATGCTAGGATGGGGCTTCGACTGCAGTTGCAAAGCATGTGCGCCTGCGCTCGAGCCGGACGCGTCAGAGCGAACTTTGTGCTCCACCTATAGTAATGTGGAAGGTCAAATATCCTGCGCAAAGCTTCGCATTTACGTCGATCTACTGCACGAACTGGGCGTACGCGACTGGTTGCTATCATCTGCGTAAGTATTCGGGCCCGATCGTACTCTTCATGTCATGCTAATGTGTCCCATCCAGATACAATATGCTCGCGGACAACAACTTCGTGCAGGGAAAGTACAAAGAAGCAGCGTATTATGCTCGAAGTGGTCTTCTCGTTGAAAATCACTTTTATGCAAAGACTAATCTTGAGTCATTACTCGCCGTGTATGGTGAGTGTATTATGAAGGATAGCAGCATCCATGCTGAGATTGAAGAGAGCTAAGAAAGGTGCTCACACCTTCCTAGCTGGATCAGGGCTAGTGGACTTGGTTCACTCGGTATCAAATTGTCATGCTGAAGAGAATGTAACCAATGCGGATATGCGATATAGATTTAGATAGTATATCCAAGATGTTTATCCAAAAATGAAAGACTCATGACGCTGTGATGTTGTACTCTAGCCAAAGAGTCCCGCGTGAAGAGTTGAGTAGAAGCGGTACTTCAGCCCGAACGTATCGCCGAAAGACAGAGACACTCATAGGAAAGACAAAAGCATCGAGAAGAGAAGCGAGAAAGTATACCATGCGTATCACCTAGTACCCACCATAACCTCCACGTCGCCCACCCAACGGCACCCTAGCATGCCACTCATCATCTTCATACTGGAAAGCTGAGTCCCTCCTACCCATCATGTTAGAACGTCTAGCCGATCGCTCTTTCTTGTCCTGGATGTGCTCAAGAGCCGCATGGATGTCGTTGAGTGCGTATCGCGCATCTAATTCGTCTTGATCTCCAATTGCGCGTGGTTGGGGGTAGCCGTAGCCTGGCTCGTGTCTATCCGCGAGGTATGATGAGGCGCGCACTGGCTTGGGTGGGAAGTGCGACTGCGCAAACGGATTATGCATGGTGGGTGGGTTAGCCATGGTTGCGCGACGATTTGGCAGGCTTGGACGAGTAGTGTGGACTGGGTAGTCATCGAAGTACGACTCAGGCTCGTGCATGTGCGTGCGTGGACTGCGAGGTTGTGGATAGTCGTCTACTGTCTCCTTGTGGTATCTGACCTTCTGTACCCGACGGTGGTCAACATCTTCGTCGTAGATGTGGCTGGGGTGCGGCTGGCTGAACATATTTGGCGACTTTCTCCCGTAAGAGACCTTCTGGCGACGATGCACGTGCGTGAAAGAAGGGCGGCGGCGTATAGGAGTGTCAAAGATACCATCATCTGCTGTGTGGACAGATGTAGTGTTCATAGACTCGGTGCCGCTTCCACGCTCTGACGATGAGTTGGAGGTCTCCCTAGCCATGCCGTGCGAGGAGTAGTACTTTCCAGATCTTTTCTTCTTCTCGTCAGAGAGGCCAACTGGTGAGGCATTACCGGAACGTGTTCGGTCTTCCACAATATTGTTGGTGCTCAAGTGGATATGAACAGGCGGCACTTTGTTGTGAGAAGACCGAGAAGAGTCGGTAGTGAAGGACTCTGGGCTATGCCTACCATTGCGTTGATCATCGATTATGTCTGAAGTGCGGTGTCGACGGGTGGTTTTTGCGACATATGGATCGACGTTGTTCTTGCGCGGACGGCTTCGGCTACGACTGCGACTAAGACCTCTAGCTCTGCTGAGTGATCGATGTTTCTGAGTCTTCTTCGATCTCTTGCCGGGCCGCTGACGTCCTCGTCCACGTCGATCAACATCTATGTGATCATGTTCAATGTTGACAAAGCTGGAATCTTCCGACTCAGACTCCCAAGAGTCACTGTCGGACGATGAGCCAGAAACATCGCGACGAACCCTGTGGTTTTTCTTGTGATGTCTGAGGTGATCAGGATTAAAGCCGGGGACGTGCCTCATGCCAACTGGCGGCATATGCATCTGGTCCGGAAACGCACCAGGCATTGGCATTTGACCATGGGGAGGGCCATGTTGTTGGCCAGGAGGAGGCGGAAGATGCTGCAGTGGCACGCCCGGCATGTGTTGGCCTGGTCCAACATTCGGTGGGGGCGGCGGACGACCCCCGTCGTGTTGTGCGGACATGCCGGGAGGTGGCGGTGGTGGAGGAGGGCCTCCAGGGCCTGCCATTGGATTCATGTGGCCCGGGTTTGGAGGATGCTGTCCGGGGTTTTGCGCGCCAGGATGTTGTGGTTGCTGCTGTTGGGGAGGTCTTTGTTGCTGTGGCATGTTTTGGCCGGGGTTATTAGACGGGTTCGGGAACTGGTGACCTTGCGAGTTTCCTTGTTGCTTGTTCTTGTTTGCATCTTGGGGCCCATTGCCCGCACCTCCGACGACAGGTCTCGCTTGCATAGGCTCTTGAAACCCAGAAGGTTCAGTCTCCAGAATGATGTCTACACGCACCAGCTGCCTTTCTCGACGGTTGACCGAGCGCCATTTGTTTACAACGCTTGCAATTCTGTATTGGATGGTTCTATTGTACCTCGCAAGCTCAACGTTCTGGTCCTCAACGAGCTCGTTGATGATTCGGCGACAGTTTGGGGAAGGGATCTCGTTCATCGCTTTCTTGACGTTATTATGGTTTCGACGAAACTTGTGCAGTTCGCTGTGGAGTTCCTGGAGTGCGACGTGTTGTTGCTCAGGTGTGGCATCCTCCCAGGAAGTGGCGTTCCTTGGCTTCTCTAAGATGAAGGAAGCCAATTGGGGATCGTAGTTGGCGTATGGGTTTAGAGCTTGCTGTTGGGGCTGAGCTGGCCTCTGCTGGGCCTGTCCAAAGTTCTGTTGTTGTCCAGAGCTCTGCTGCTGCCCATTCGGGACTTGTCGTGGTTGACTGACATTCTGATGCGGATGGGGTACCTGACCCTGATACTGTGCCTGCTGCGGAGTCGCCATTGAATGGTTTGTGAAGGTTATAGGAGGGATATCTTCAACGAAGGAAGTATAGCCGATGGCTAGATGCTCAAGTGACTGAAGACTTGATGCCGATGATCGCAACAGGCAGATCAATGTGATGAAGACACGGGAAGTGAATGACAGGGCGAACTAGAAAGTCTAAGGCAGAAACAGGAGGACGTTGACCGAAGATATAGATTGGCAGATTTCTTGTCATACTGCAAGATTGTAGCTCTCGATCTTTGTCCGGAGCAGTAGTAGCACTTTGTCGATGCAAGCGAGGTTGTGGTCCCTCTAGGAGTACAACAGCCACATCCAGTTGTTTCCCCGGGGGGTCTACATGAAACAAGCGTTAATTGGTCGTATCGAAGGGCACTCGCAAGCCCCACTTGAGGGTGATATCGAGGCTCTCACCGGTCTAAGCCACCAGGCTGAGGGGGACAAACAGGCAAATAACCCCGCCCTCCTGCGTGAACGCGCAGCATAGCATCGTTGCTACACGTCTTGAGGCTCAACTTTGACCGGACCAGTTAAAGATCGTATAAAATATGCAGAAGCCATGCGCATGCATATTTGAGGACTCATAGCGGCTGCCTGTTTTTGCATGCAGCCTGATGGTGTTTGGTGTTTGGATAAGGTCGCATATGCATTACAGCTGCAATCGTTGGGATTCGCCGCGAATAATGGATGTAATTCTTGCTTTTTTGGCCTGCCCTCCGTGGAGCTGGATACATGAAGTCGTCGAAGTGTGAGAAACGTTCACGGTGCCAGCGCGGAAGAAGCGATCATTGATTGACCACGCTAACGGGGCGTCATGACCCCGCTTTTGGCCCGTGCACGGCTCAACACCCCCTTTCGCCTCGAGCCCAGGTGCCAGCCAAAAGAAGGCAACTGACCACTACAAGCCACCATCGCAAGGTGTACGGGAAAGATGAGGACCCTTTCTTTGAGTAACGAGTATCAATGGCTGAGACAGCGTCCTGCTGACGTCCAACCCGCCTGCTTGCCCTTCGTTCCGCTCGGCCAACGCATCCAATCACCACCCACAAGTCGAGGTAAGAACCCGCTGGTTACGCCAAAGTCTTTTAGTCACTGGTAGTTGTACCTGGTGATACGCATGTAGACCCCTTATCTGTGTCTGCACTTATACCACCCAGCCCGGCTTGCATCACTGCTGGGCGTGTCGTATGTCAAACATTTTGGTACATCGCCCTTTGGTGTATCGCAGTGCGATTCGATCTTTCCAGCCGATGTTAATCCGCCTACACTCCAACATGGACTTCAGACCGTTCTGCGGTGCGGCTCAGCGCGCGTTCGCGCAGCGTCGATCTACTACTGCACATCGCGTTGCTGTCGACCTGTTTACTGCAGTTCGACGCCCTTCCATGCAGCTCGTGCCGCCCTCCAATCTTCAGCTCTCTATCCAACCAATGTCCTTCTTGCCGGAGGCCCGCGGACTTGATCGCATTTGGAGGCCTATCGAACACACCGGATCCACCGCGCATGACATGCATATCCGCGGCTGGATGACATCTTTGACACGCAGCCTTATGCACGTCTGGGTTGCAACACCACAACCGTGTTCCAGAATCGTCTCTAATAGGTGAGAGCGACTGCAACTCTTACGAGTAGCCGCGATAGATATACAACATCGTTACACTTCCTGATATTCGCTCACCGGACGCAGACACGCCCTCGCTCATGCACTTCTATCATGAAGATCCTCCATATCAGTCTCGGACCGGATATGTCGGCTTGAATCATCTCTCCCGCGTTTTGAGGAGCATAACCAAGTCTCCGGTCTGAGCCAGTAGTCATACAAGTGCATTCTATTGAAAAATCATGCGCCCACAAACAGCCACCTGAGCAAGGATGCAATCCTGCACCAGACTTGATACCGACAAATCTGCTAACGAACAGATTGAAGCGCGCCGGAAGTACGAGACATCTTGATCGGTATGGAATTACTCTCCGAGCCACACGGCACTTGAGAAGCTCGGCATCTCGCTGGTACGATCTGCGGGTACGTACATGTCTGAGACACGGGCGAGCATCACGGCTTGCCTACCACCCCGCACGATCGCAGCAATCCGCCGACTCGGTACCGTTGCCTTGACCGCCAGATTGATCCTTCGACAGCCAAGCTCTTACATCCGGCAGGCCGCGGCAGAGGCAAGATGGCGTGGCATTACAGGACGATCTTAATCACGCTTTCGGTTACACACTCCGAAGCAGTGACTGACAGCTTGCGATCAACACTAAACGATCCGATGAGAGCATGTTGGGATGACCTTCCAGCAGCCAGAGACAGGTTTCTTGACAAGTTGATCCGTCGGGCGATATGCAATGCATGCGCGGGGGTGTCATGGTGTGTCACATAACCAGCGTCGCAGAGCCTCAGAAAGTTACGATGGCAGCCTGGTTCACTTTCGTGTCGCCAACAACTGCCTGCTTCGCTTGCAAATCATGCATGAAGGGTCCCGAAGGACCATGAGCGAGGAGCATACGGATATTTCTCGCCTCAGAACGGGGTCTTCGAACACGATGCATACTGGATAAAGTGCGCGCCTGATAGTACGTAACGACAAACATGACCGACCTGTGGCCATGGTCTTGCTTTCTATCTTGCCACAGGCAAATTCACATGCGTGCCTTGCCGCTTGAACCTAAGCGTTCGAGCGCCCCACCTCTCTTTGGCTTGGTCTAGTTCGAAAACGTCCTCCCAAGGCTCGCCGATATCGACTTCATCCTGCTGGGACACGTTCGTCCAAGCGTCATCAACTTCCGACGCACTGCTGACGATCTTGATACCCATCTTCTCCGCAATTTTTCTGACATCTTTGGCAGCTTGCTCTGCGCTTTCGTATTCGCTCTTCCAGGCTTTGAGCAGGACACTTCCAAGCCTAGCCTCTTCTAACACTTGAAGCTGATCACGCCAATCTTTTGCTGGCTTCGGTGGGCCGCCTTCAGGTGAAGAGAATGGGTCCCAATCTATGCCCCGTTTACAGTGCGCTTCGGCCGTGTGAGTATTCGTCATGAGTTCCCAGACAAAGGTCGCCCAGTAGAATCTGTGTCGGAAATACGTAGTTAGCGAACTGCCGCGCCTAGGTCTTGACGTATGCGAGAACGATGAATACTCACAAGGACTCACGATGACTTCCACACGTTCGAGGAAACTCTGTGGAATAGTCGTCGTAGTATATAGTGCCGCCATCTCCCGCCCATTCACAAGTATCCCAACCACCGGAAAAGTCTTCCGGAATATCTTCGCTCTCGTCTTCGCTCTCGCCCTCACTTTCGTCTCTAGGATATTCTGAAATTGGAGCCCCTGCAGCACGCCATTTCTGAACTCTTTGCTCTCGTCTCTCGTACCGCTTCTCCTTTCTCCAAGCCTCTCGTCTACTATCGGCATCAAGCTCTGGCCCATCAACGCTGATGAAACCTGAAATAGCCAGTGAATAATCGTGGCGCAACCACACATTAGTAGACGAGAAGAACGTCAGGTATACAGAGCGAGAGTGGAGGTAGCTAATGGCGGACAGCGATTGTAAGGCCCACCGATAGTACAGGGCCAGCATGATGTGGTCCTCTCTTGAAGGCTCTTCTGGAACAGGTACAGTCATGGCAGGAAGATCGCCCCAGTGTGGGCCTGGACCAAGTCTTTCGACGATCACTCCGTTACCGGCGTCGCTATATACAAGGCCGGTACGCCTGCAATCGCGTTAATATTAACAGAGTCCTGTTCAACACTTCACATACCGAACAATCCTTGGATGGTCTTCGCCAAGAAGCTCATAAGCTTTCCGTAGCCGTTTGATCCCCCATTCTGGTCTAGCCCTTGTATCGTCATCTTTCGGTTCGTATATGATGATGCTCTTCCCATCTTTGTGAGGTACTGCGCATGCATGTTGCCAGAAATCACAGTACCAGCGTCGGGTGTCTTCCGGCTCTATGCTGGCTTCGGAGGGATAATATGGCGACTGCGTTGCAATCGTTCGCTCTTCGTCTTGGGGCAGTGGCCCATTAAGAGATGAAATTGCCGAACCCATTGGGCAGCACGAGAAAAGATGCTAAAAGTACTAAATCGCGATACATTGCGTACTATATACACTGACCCAGGTGTTGCCGTTTGAGGCAAGCGCCATCGCGCCTCGTGAACCGTGCCAATGATGCCTGCTTGGCAGCCCTATCAAGCTTATCCTAATCAGATCTAAGTTTGAACCCCAGCTTCCCGTCCTTGAACTCGAACATACCCTCCCACTTCTCACCAATGTCAACCTCATCGCCAGAGATGGTTATGCCCACCTCAGCTGCCGCCAACTCGATATCACCAATGACCTTATCCACGCTGCCATATCGATTATTCCAAGCGCCAACCAGAACATGTCCCAGTCGAGCATTCTCTAGCTCCTGGAATAGCTTGCGCCGTTCTCTCTCATCGATAATGTTGGATATATTTGGCGAGTCTTCGATTTTATAGCCTCCTTCCATGGGCCATGCAGGCTCCCATAGCCCACGAAAAGGCCCACGATGCGATGGCGACACAGCAGTGAAGTCGTTCGTCATGAGTCGCCAGACGAATGTAGCCCAGTAGAAGCTAGAGTGTGAAGATAAGGATCAGCAATCTTTTGTGCGTACACCGTGGTTCGCGCATACTCACAGGTCTGCCTTTACACTTCCTTGTACACCTCCTGTGTAGTAACTTTCATCAAAAGGATCCTCATGATGTACCATATCATATATCATGTCGTCCGCTGCCCACTCACCCTCGCTCCAACCGCAGCTAGCGGTGCTCTCTATCTTTCGCCCATTTTCATCTATGAAGTCAGCTTCTCGTCGGGCCGCCTTAGTGTCTTCTTCAGTATCTTTCCAGAGCTCATCCTCTATCTCCTGTGCACTAGCGCTGATGAATCCACCCACTGCGAGCGAGAAGTCCGGGCGTATCCACACGAGTTGCGCTGAGAAGAACCCAATGCACATGGATCTTGCATGCATGACCCTGAAGGCGGAGAGTGCCTGTATCGCCCATCGGTAATACAGCGATAGCATGATCTTATCGTCGTGCGACATCGTTTGCGCTACCACAGGCACTGTCATCGCAGGCACCTCAACCCTCTTGAGTTGGCCCGGTTCCAGTCTTTCAACGACTACGCCATCACCCGAAGTGCTGTATAGCGCGCCGATATACCTGAAAGACTAAGCGCGGTCAAGTACACGAGCAGAATGATACGTACCGAACAATCCGCGGGTGTGGTCCACCGAGGAGCTCGTACGCCTTCCGCAAACGCTTTATAGGCCAGCCATGCCTCGATCTGGGGTCTGGGTATTCGCCGTTGTCTTCATCGCAGATGGGCGTGAATATGATGACTTTGTCCGTGTCTTGGTGTTGTACGCAGTCCGCAACTTCAAACAAGCGTTCGTACCAAATGGTGGGATTCGCTTCGACGGGGACAAGCTGGCCGTTACGCACATATGGGTATCGATTCGGGCCATCATAAGGAGGTCGAGAGTCTGGCTTCGAAGGATTGGGTGAGTAGATTGATGAGAATATGGAGCCCATGGCAGTTTGCTGGGGATGAATGTATTGCGGTCCGCGCTATGAGAAAGCTGGTAAAGGTTATGGGGCCAGCAACCAGATATATGCGCTTCCAATGGGAGCTTTCGCGTCCCTAATATTGCGAGCAAACTATAGCCGTGTAGATTGCGATGGATCATTGGTCAGACTAGAGAGGTACGACAGAGAGACGGGATGGAAGGGCGACCCGAAAGAGTAAGATCTGCGCTTAGTACAGAGATACCTGCTTGGCACATATAAAACCAACAAAGACCACCAGGCACCCACTCAAGCAACCGTAGCAGAATTACTCAGACTTTGATTCAAAATGAGATGGGAAGAGAATCCCCATTCATCTCGCCGGCCCTTCCAGCGTATTCCTCCGACTAGGCATCCTCGGATCCCTCTTCCCCATCGTAACCTCAAGAGCCTGGATCAAAGCCGTGCCATCATACCTAACAAAGTTCTCGCCCTCATGCTTCTTCCCATACACGCGAATGGGTTCAATACCAATGCTTTTGAGCTCGTCTCGGTCGACCGCCGGCGTCCCTGGCCCTTGGAGATGGATGATGTGCGTGACGTATTTCTTGTACTGACTCTTATCCAATGGCCCAAACACGCTCTTGGAGTCTTCGCATGCTTTCGCGATGGCAGCTATGAAGTCGAGCGCGGAGTAGGGGTTGGAGGATGGCCCTGTCTCGCGATCGATGGTCGAGTTGAGGATGAGGATTTTGTAGCGGATTGCGGGGTTGCTGATGGCTTCGCCGATACCTTTGAGAACCAATGAAGGAATGATGGATGTGTAGAGCGAACCGATGCTGTATATCACGGCCTGTGCGTCGTTCAATGCATTGAGCACGGTGGGGTTGGCAGAAAGGCGTATCTCCTGGCCATAGGGATTGATATACCAGAGCCTTTCGATTCTGGCTGGCAGCTCCTCTTCATCCGCTTTGGAGAAGGTGATGTATTGCTTTCGAAGAGTCGGTAAAGATCCGGGTAAATTGGCATCCTCAATTCGATCGTGCTGTTCGGTCTCATCGATTATTGGTGCACCTCCCGACACCAGGGCTGTCGAAATGGAAGGGTGTGAGATGGAGTTCTGGCCGGTGATGGTGTCGCCGTTTGCGAGGCTGACTGAGATGTGGTGCGTGAAGTTGGTGTTGATCGCCGGTAAGACTGATGTGTGACTGGGCACAGAACAGATGCTTGAGAGTAGATAGATGGCTGACTCGAACGAGCCAGTGAAAAGTCGAGCACTGTAACTGTCAGCTTCGAGAATTTTGATGCGGGTAGGTGCGCTGCAGAGGATATGCGATGGTAAACGTAACAGAGACAATGAAATCGGGATTTGAGCGATCATATAAATAGGGAGAAGCATAATGAGTGCATCAATCACGTACCCAGTAAGAAACAAGTTGCCGATACTCGCCCCTGAGAAGTCGAAACTCGATGAGGGCCGGCGACGCTTGACGATCTCGTACGCGACAACATTGAGTATCGATCGTATGAGCTCTTTCTTCGCCGTCGAGATGTTTGTCCAGAGTGCATGCTCAGCCTCTACAATCTGCAGCCATTCATCTCGGGCTGAAGACCGTTCTTTGGGCAGTCTGTGGTTGAAGAAGGTCTTGATAGCTGCTTTCTCGCTGTCATCGTGATCGGGGTCATCCGGGATCAGGCGGACAAGACGACCTAGAAAGGTTAACATCTAGATCATTGTTCTCTGAGAGCATTCGCGTACTTCTCACATCACCGATACCTGTGAATGTCAGTGTTGTGTCATTCCTGCCTTAGACTGTGCCCACCTGGACCTCCGAAGACGCGTATCAGCTCAGACGAGCTGCCGCCGTTATCACTGATAGGGATGACATAGCTCAGCGGGCATCTCTTGTCTTCTCTGACTTTCTTAAACACATCGACTAGATTGTTCGCAGCGCTTCCACCTGAGAACACAACGATGCCTTTGCTTTTGAGGTTGCCGTTGGACATGGGCGAAGACGGCGTTACGTGGTCGCCGTTAGGCGAGAGAAAGTTCTCGGCAGACATGACGAGATGCGTGCAATGATGGTTGACCACATGGGTCGTGGCGCGGGTTTATCAAGTCATGGTGATGTTGACAGGGTGTTCGCAAAGGTGGATGCCCTTCCATGAGCTCAGAATAGAAGAGGTAGGAGTCATGCACTAATCCATTAGGGTGTCACGCGTTACGCGACTAGGCAATATCTCGCATTTTGAGCACAATTCGGCAAGAGGTGTTTGATGGAGATTTTGCATTTGTAGTTGGTTTGAAATGAAATTTGTACAGAACGAGTCGCCAGCCAAGATGTGATAGAAGGCTGCTCTCAACGCATCCAACCCCGCTCATATTTCATGCCCATATATACTCATCATGAGCGCTGGAAGTAGCGCATGATAGTCTCACTCCCGTTGTAGTTGAGATGACGCTCTGGCCGTGTGTGCGATGCCCAGTCCCAGCTACCCCTACCCCTCACACCACTGTCTCTTGCCATTGCAGGCCACGGCCGCCTAAGAGGTACCAGCGGCCTCCTCACGCTCCTTCCTCCGCGCCCGCTTCTCGAGTAGGGCGTCTCGTCGGTCGGCTAGGAGGCGGAATTGTCGGTTCTCGACGCCAGTGAGCCAGTAGCCGAAGCTGCCACCGGCGCCGGCGTAGAGGGGGTAGACCCAGAGAGATTCCTTGTTGAAGAGCGGGCGCATCTCAATGCCGAGTTGCCATAGCCGGGCGGCAACGCCTGTATATGTCGTCAGTAGAATCCCTGGGGGTATGCGCGGGCGGTTGGGGACATACCGAAACCGCTCCAGAAGAGGATCTTGTGGACCATGGTGAGCGGATGTAGTCGTGTCAGTTGTGTCGGTGTGAAAGACTCCTTCTGTGCTGCAGCAGCAATCGGGGCGGGTGTCGTGAGGGCGCGTTGTCACCGCTGTACCAGTACTGGCTTTCTGGGCTGCGATGCTCCATCGTCAAGCTCCGGAACGCCAAGAACGAACCACCCACGCGGATGCGGAACCAAGGTCCGCCGACCTCACCTCCGCGACAATGCCGCTTTCGCGCCTCTCCTGATATTGTCGCTCACTTTTTAGCTCTCGCTCTACAATCCATTCACTATTACCATTTTGAGCTGGCGCACCAGCCTAGCCCCCTACGTCATTCGCTACTCGCCAGCCTTTCCCACCCCCGTCTTGATGCGCCGGGCCGCAACACAAACGACACAAAACGACGGATCGCAATCACGTAAAATCAACCATGGCGGAAGTCGGCCGCAAGCGCCCAAGTGAAAGCGATGGAGCTGCGACTATGCGCAAAAAGTTGAGGCCATCGGAACTCCCGCTTTCCCAGGCGAAGCGATCGGCCATCGACAGCCTGGTGCACATGTTCCGTAAGAAGGGCGCATACGACGACATACGCAGAGACTTGATGAAGCAATATGTGTCAGGAGTAGGTGGCCAACGATTGATTATTACTATATGCTAGGCTAACCTTCGCGTGCCAGCCTGCTAAGGATGAACTGCAAGCCGCTCTCAAGGAGCTCGTCGACCGCGAAACCGACCGTAATCCCTCGCTGCTGTCCAAGGATCCCCGAATGGCCACTACACTTATAGAAGGCGCGGGTGAGCGCAGCGACATCTACGGCAACATTATGAACACGGTCAACACTCTGCTGGATAAACTGATTGATGAGCATGGCGTACCGAAAATGCGCGAGTACCGCATTGCCGAAATAGGCGCTGAGGCTGCTGCCGAAGAGGAGAAGCGAGGCAGTAAGAGCGAAGAGGAATGGGCTAAAGAAGCAGACGCTCGTCGAGAGAAGCGTGAAGCCCGGAGAGAAAAGGAGTTGGAGGCAGAGCGCGAGAGAGAACGCGAGGAGAGGGCAAAGAAGGAAGAGCGTAAGCGCCGCGAGAAGGAAGAGGACGAAGCCCGTGAGAAGGCGCGACAAGAGGAGAAGGAGCGCAGGCGCAAGGAGCGTGAAGAGCGCGACAAGGAAGACGAAGAGCGCCGACGCAAGGACCGAGAGAGAATCGACAAAGAGAGAGAAGAGGAGCGTCTACGTCGCGAGAAGGAACGAGAGGAGCACGAGAAGAGCCGAGAAGCCCGTCTCAAGAAGATCCGCGAAGAAGACGCTGAGCGAGAGCGCCGCCTACAAGAGGAGCATGACCGAGATCGCGGCGGTCGCCATCGCAGTGGTCGTGGCCGTAGCAGGACTCCCGATCGTGAAAGGGACCGGCGTGGACGAGACAGGAGCAGGCGAAGGAGCAGGTCAAAGACCAGGTCGCCTGAACGCCGTCTGTCGATCAAGCCTGAAGACATCAAAGTTGACGATGAGACTGCATTGGCGCTCCTGCTACAGGAAAGTGAGCAGATGAAGAATTCACGACAACGGAGGCCTCTGCTTCCGCGATCAGAATCACTGGAACCACCTATGCGAAAAGCTCAGCCTCCCAAGTCGCTCGTTCCCCGCGATCCCGTGAAGGCTCGACTGGACAGGCTTGACAGCAGACCTGAAAGGTCACCCAGCAAAGACGCAAAGTCCCCCGCTCCAGGTACGCCAAATGCGGCTGCGAAGGACGAAGATACCACTATGACAGATGCCCCATCCGCAGCAGAGGCGGCTAAGGGCCGATGGGATGACAAGCGACCTGAGTTACCGAAGCGTGACAGGTCCCGTAGTGTCGCGCGCAGCACGAGGGAGCGTAGCAGAAACCGATCGCAGTCCCGCGGAAGTCGGTACGACAGGCGTGGCTCGCGCTTCGACGACGACCGCCGTTCCCGACGCGACGATGATAGACATTCCTACCGGCCCTCAAATGACGGTCGACGACGCGATCGCGACGACCGAGATGAGAAACCGTCCCGTCGCGAGAGTCGCAGTCGCTCACGAGAGACTCACACCAGCCGCCGCAAGTCACGCTACGAAACGTGCAGTCCGTCGCCACCTCGAGAGGAGCGTCGCAGAGATAGAGAACGTTCCCGCTCACGAGGCGGCCGACGTGAGCGCGAGAGATCCCCTGCATCCGGGCGCCGCCGTCGCTCCAGAAGCCCCGAGAACATCGACCGTTATGTACCCGGTGGCGGTGGAGGTGCTGGCAGTGGCAGTGCTCGGAAGCGCGAAGACAGCCGTGACCGCAAGCGCGACGACAGTCGGCCTCGCAAGCGTGATGATAGCCGTGACCGCGCACGAGGCTACAGGGCCCGAGACTATGATCGTTGGGATGGTGGTAGAGACCGTGGTAGTAGGCGTCTGGAGTCTGATTGCTACCAACCTGGCGGTGCTCCCGCTGCTGAGGCCGAGGATAAAGATCGCGAGCGCGATCGCAAGCCTAGGGAGAGGAGTCGCGAGCGCAGCAGAGATAGGGGACGTGATGATAGGGATAGACGTAGGCGAAGGAGCCGCAGTGCGAGGAGCCGTAGCCGGGACCGACGTCGCTGATCGGTTGGGAGGGTTTTCTTCTGGGTTTTCTTCTAGGATGTATGATTATTAGCAGGCATTCGATGTGCGACTTGCAGCACGTGTGCAGAGTGTGCCTTGGAGATAGGCTACCGCCAAAATACATGGGGTTGCGAAATGCTTTCGCTCAACGGCGAGCCTGTGTCCAGCACTCCACATGGCATATGTGGTGAAGTGGCAGCGAATATTCATGGTGTCTCTGCAGCCACTGCCGTATCCACCACCAAAAAAAGGGCAAAAAGGAGGCAAAAACATACAACAGCGGGGATTCGCTTCTGGTCACCCACGAAGCTACTAGCTAGCCGGTAACAAGCTTGAGTACCGCTGAGCAAACGGGAAGCGCTATTGACTTGTTCCTATGGTCGTATGTACAACTTTGAGCAGGTCTGGGTTATATAAAGGTGTTGGTAAAAGCCTAAACAAACCATCCCTTCATCATATCACCCCCAATTCCTCGCCGTCCTCCCTTCATTATCACTCAGAGTGTCCACCTCATCCACCATTGTTTCAACAAACTTACCTTCCTCTGCTATCGGGACATCGTCGTCGTCGTCGACTTCCCACATCACAAGCCTCTTCCGCTTCTCCCTCAGCAATCTTACCTTTTTCTCTCTCCTCGGCGACTCAGACCCAGTATCAGATACAAGGGAAGGCGAAGGAGACACCGGCCTACTCTGACAGTTACTCCTCAATGCGCTTTTCGAACCCGGAAGAAGACATCTCTCTCGACTCGGCGTAGGCGGCCGATTACCCACTGTAACAGCAGGAATGGGGTGTTCAACCAACCCCGAATCCTCCCGCTCAACAATCGGCGTCGCAGGCTCATCTTCCACAACCAACACCTCGTCTCCAAACTCCCTTTCCCACTTCTCCTTCTGCCAATCCCGCATGAAACCTGGGTTGATACTCAACCACTTCCTACCTGCATCCGCAACACCATCAGGCGTAGGCATGCCTTCTACATGCCAATACAGAAGATACGTGTAGCTTCCTGCGTTCCATCGTAGACCCATGAAGTCTTCAACTAGTAAGCCGGTGGTTACATACCACTCTATATTCTTGACCTGCAGAGCAGCAAAGGCTTCTGGGTCGCCAATGCGGAAACGCGCGTTGGGTGGGAGGCTCCAGCGGAAAGGGAGGGGGTGCGGTTCGTGAAGCGATTTGGCGCGGTTGCGGAGGGAGTTGGGAATGGTCTTGAGGAGTTTGTCGGTTAGGGGTTGGTTGGCTGGGCCGTGGGGGATGCGGGAGTCTGGTAGAGGCACGAGGAAGGCTTTGACGGACGATGAGGTGTTGGGGTCTAGGGCGTGGCGTCGTTCTCGGGGGCTAGGACGCACGAAGTCTGAGCACTCATCGTCGTCCACTACTTCTAGTGCACTGCCTTCTCTTCGGAGTGCGATCGATGCATCTGCCAGTAAACCCAACGTGAAGGTACCGGTTGGAATCGCGTCTTCGGGATCGGAGGCATGGTCCAAGTAATTTTCTGTCAAGGCTCCTCGGCTGACTTCTGGGATATTTGAGTAATCACCGCAGACCACTAGCTCACCAGTGACTGTACGCATCAGAGGAGGAGCTGCTTTCGACTCTTCCAACGATCGACTTTTGTTGAACGACAACAGACAACAATAGCAGGGTAACAAGAAAACTTCCAGAACAAAAATAAGCAATGGCGCAATGGATAAGGTTGTAGAGAGATTGCGGTAAGACTAAACTTTTACCTAATGCATAGAACTGCTGTGAAGGGCTGGCATGGAGACACAAGGCCTGGCTGGCTAACTGATATTCTAAATATTGAAGACTACGCTGCGGATAACCCATGATCTTCATACGGAACAGTTGAATGTGGTGGGTAAACAGGAGTGTCGTGTGGTACGACTTTAGTATATCAAGCTGGTGGTATTGAAGACCTAGAGTCAGATGTCCCCGAACAATCCGTTGAATGGTTGCGTGGGTTGTGCTAAGGCGGGATTTGAGTGGAACATCGCAGTCATTGAAGCTGGCCATTCAATTGACTGTCCAGAGATTGACGAGGTCTGATAGAAGGGCCTTTTGGTGACACTTGGCGTGGTGAGGTCGGTAGACAGAAGCAGGGACGGATGCCAAGACGGATAGGCGAGACGATCCCGGTAAGACGTGCAGTGGCGTACAGGCTTGGGGCGTCGCTGGGTCACGTATCTCGTCCATTGCGCGTGCGACTCCTCCCGTATTGGCTGACCGGCCTGCTGCCTTCCCTTCGACGTCCTTCTCTTTTCACTCGCGGCTGCCCTTGGCCACACGCTCCTTCACATCTGCACCGGCCCGCCGCGTTTCATGCCCGTTTTTTCTTCTGCATACAACCCTGCTTTCACCTACAAACTTTAACTTGGCGCTGCCGTCATGTTCGTCCCCGGAAAACCCAAGATCAAAACGAGAACCGTCCTCGTCAAGAAGGCGCCCGCCCCCACAGCGAACCCCTCACCATCGCCGCATGCGAGACCCGGCAACGGCACACGTAGTTACAGTGCATCTGGCCCGCCAGCGAACCGATACCAGTCCACGCCGCGCTCGCAAACAGTCTCGCGGGAACCCGCGCGCAAGTCGGTTTCCGTGTCGCGTGTCGAGACCAACAAGCGTAAAGGCACCGACACGCCGCAATGGGCTAGCAGCGATGAGTCGAGCGAGGATGAGGATACCAGCCGGCTGGGCGTCAAGCGACGGAAGACGCGGCCAGCGAGTAGTAGCACTGAGCCGATGAGCCTGAACCGCGCACTCGAGCCGGACTTGAAGCGACGTATACGGATAGTAGAGCCTGATGCCAAGGCGAAATCGAATGGTGTCAACGGCGCATCGAATGGAACTGCGAACGGCACATCAAATGGCGCGTCGGATATGATGAAGATGGCGCAAGAAAACGCCGCGTTCAGAAAGAAGAAGGCTGTGTCGGGGAAGAGCACTCTGAAGCACGGCTTCGAGATGACAAAAGACGATGGGGCGAAAGCCTACAAGTCCGCATTCCCCGGTAGCGAGAAGAAGTTCACCGTCGAACTCCAGTACCCCAGCGTGTCACGTCCAGAAAAGTTCGAGGCAGTGGCCCGGAAAGAGGTGGACGAGGAGTACAGTCCACTGGAAGACATCTACTTCAGCATAGAGGAGATCATCCAGCACTACCTCCCGCCCGATCTCGCCAACGAGCTCTCCTCCGACGCCGAAGGCACCGTCCGTCTCCTCAAGCGCGCCGTAACCAAAGACGACCCCGAACTGTTCAAGCAAGAACTCGCCAAGTTCAACAAGCTCATCAAAGACCAATACGCCAACGGCACGATACCCCGCATCCTCGACGACATGCACGCCATCCCCCTCAGCCTCGTCAAACGCATCACGGCCCAAAGCTACAACCGCATCGTCTCCCCGCACGCACACCGCCTCCGCAAAGTCGAAGGCAAAGAAACAACCTACGGCGAACTCCTGACCCCTTTCGTCCACAAAATCTTCGCCCAAACCGGCCTAAACTCCACCCACACCTTTGTCGACCTTGGCTCCGGCGTCGGCAACGTCGTCCTGCAGTCCGCCCTGCAAACCGGCGCCGAAAGCTGGGGCATCGAAAAGATGAAGCTCGCCGCCTCCCTCGGCACAGAACAAGCCTCTGAACTCAAAGCGCGGGCGAAGCTCTGGAACATAGCCCTCCCCCGCATCGAGCTCATCGAAGGCGATTTCCTCGAAAGCCCTGAGATTGACGCTGTCCTCCGCCGCGCTGACGTTGTGCTGGTCAACAACAAGGTGTTTGGCGAGACGCTGAATAATCTGCTGTTGCAGAAGTTTCTCGATTTGAAACAGGGCTGTAAAGTCGTTAGCCTTGAGAGTTTTGGCGGCGGTGCTAAGCAAGGGGTTAGGAATGAACAGAGTATTGCTGGGCTTTTTGATGAGGAGAGGTTTGAGAGTGGGACGAATAGCGTTAGTTGGGCGGGGGAGAGCGTCGAGTATTTTATTGCTACAAAGGCGCGTTGAGGCGGGCTGGAACAGAAGTTGATTGGAGATGGTTGGTGAGTTTGTATCATATAGAAGGGATTGTAGGTCAACACTGATGGGCGGACATTTTCTTGGACTTTTATTGTGGGATTCCTCACAATACAGTTGGACGGGAGGAAGCGTAGGTGAGCGATTGAGCGAGAAGGGCTGGGCAGGTTCGTCTGAAGCATAGCACACTTGGCGTTTGATTTAACATCAATACCCCTTGATCTATATTCTCTTTCTGTAGCTATTTCAAATGCAGAATTTATAAACATATGTACATTGCATCGCTTTCGATTCGTAGTCACACCCTCCAAATCTGCAGCTTCAAGCGTACTATACCCCAGCATCCACGTTAAGTACAATTCTTCAAAGTTTGTATTGTCGTATTATATATACGGAAGGATAGTAAAGAGCAACAATCCGCTCCGTGTATGTATGCTAAGATATTACCCAGTCGCCCATCCCACCAAACACCAACACCGTATATGCACTTCCATTCCCCTTTCCAACTACAAACTGCAAATCCATCCACCGTATATATAAATCGTAAAGGAGCGTGTATCGGGTATCTGAAAAAACCAATGCCAACGAAAAAGGAGCGACGTCGCTAATGTACAAATAAAGTAGTAAAAAAGCCTGAAAATGCAAAGCAGTCGTGTTTCTCGTTATATATACCCTCTTTTCCATCTTCATCTTCCTTTTCCTCCCTCCATCCTAATCATCATGCTGAAAAGAGGAAACGGCCATACGACTTACTCGCTTGCCCTGATCTAAAAGAACAAAGCCATAGCGCCCAAGCCCACAGCACCAGCAAACGGCACGCCATTCACGCCCGCAGCACCCGTCTGCACACTCGGCTGCTCCGTCGAATCCCCACCATCACCCCCACTCGCCTGCGTCGCCTGAATCGGATCCACAAACGTATAACTCGTCATAGTGCTCGGCCTCCCCTCGGCATCTGTCGTCGTAATCAACTTGATGCTGCTAACCAAGCCGCCACCAGGCGTGTACGTAGTCAAAAACGTGCTTCCCGCTTCATCCGTCGCAGTCTGCACCTCACCAGCGGTAGGCGCGTAGTCAGCCGCAGACGTGGTAACCGTTGTGCGGCCTGCGGAATCGGTGGTTGTGCGGATTACGGCGGGCCGGTTCTCGGTTTGGGTGACGGTGCTGCCTTGGGAGTTTGTGCGGACGAGGGTTACGGGGACGGAGGCGGTTACTTCGGAGAGGACGCGCGTGGTGCGGACGACGGTTGTGCCGTCTTCGGTTATGGTGGCTTCGACGGGGATGATGGCGGGGCGTTGGGTGGTGGTTTGGCGGACGGTGGTGGTGGCTTGTTGGGTGGTGGTTTGTTGTTGTGTGTTAGTGACGGTGGAGGGGGGTGCGTCGTCCGAGGGTTGCTGGGATTGTTGGGGCTGCTCGGTTTGTTGGGTTTGTTGGGTTTGTTGGGTTTGTTGGGTTTGTTGGGTTTGTTGGGTTTGTTGGGTCTGTTGAGTCTGCTGCTGTGTTTGGGTCTGTACTTGGGTGACGGTAGTGCCTTGTTGCGTCTGGACCTGCGTTACGGTGGTCTCGACTGCTGGTGGAGGAGCCTCGCTCGCCTGTGATGAAGGCGCGTCCTCGGTTGTCTGTTGTGGGGTTGAAGCCTCAGTGGCAGAAGCCGTGCCATTGCCTGGCGCCTGCCTCTTCTTCAAGTCGTTGACAGCGTCGACAATGAGCTTTGTAGCGAGCGCTGGGTTGTTCTCGTGAACATGTTCGACGCCGCGGTGGTGCGACTCAAACACGCCATTCTTGAAGTCCTTCAGTCCGCTCAATGCTGCTTGTAGAGATTCCTCTGGCAACGCGTTCAACAGGTCCTGGAACGCTTCCTGTGCAGTCGCATAGATGGTCTTTGGGTGGTCGTCTCGCTTGTTTGGTGAAGCAGCAACGGCGGTGCTGAACAATGGCAGGGCCAGAACGGCCAGCTGGCAGAAGGAACGCATCGTGGTTAAATCGGCGTGCAGAACGAAAGCGAAGGTGGATTCTCAGCGAAGAAGAACAGAAACTGCGACAAGCGTGTTAGCACCTTGTCATAACTGGAATCAAGGCCGTAAATTGTGTACAAGAAAAAGAACGTAAAGCGCAATGGGCTGATGTGATGGCGAAGACGTCGCGGACTGGAGAGCAGGCTTACACAGAATCTGTCGCTTCCGAGTGGCTGGGTTGCAGGTGTCTGACGCCACAGCCCGAGAATCGATAGCCTGTAGACTCCTCAAGTGCTGATGTTCAACGCTCCCGTTTCTTTTTGCCGACGAGGAAAAGAAAGCGAGCGTAGTTATTCGTTTGGTCGTTCGGGGTGATCTCAACAACGAGTGTGGTCTTCGCAAGAGTCAGTCGAAACAAGCGGAGTCGTGGACCGTAAAGTCGGTAAAAAAGGCGTTGGAAGCGTGTGATAGTGATGAGGAGAAACGGCAGATCAGTCCTTAAGGCAGAAGGCGATACGGTTACTGTACGAGTTGAGCACCAAGCATCTTTGGGTAAGGCGTTGCTGATACAGGTGCCGCTAGGTGCGTCTTACTTGACAGAAACACGAGGTTTG